TTATGGAGAGTGAAGATAGTGATGAAGAAGTGGACGGTTGTGATAATTGTTCGGAGGTTTCGGAGATTGATTGTAGTCAGGCTTTGGAGGAGGTGTATTCGGTCGAGGAATTAAATGATTTTCTGGATTTAACTAAAGGGAAAAAGGTTTATGTTGCAAAATATTTCCCAGATGTTAATAAGTTTATAAAATCCGTGGCGAAAGCACAGAAGACGACGGGCTATGAGGTCATTTCAAAACAGAAACGATTTCGGCTGAAAAAGTTTCTAACAAACGTACGTAAAGCTCAGAAAGAAAACGTAAAATTGTCAAAATGGAAAAAATAAAGCACATGGGTGTGGGATCTATTCTATTTTCTGTGTTGCTTCTATGTTTTTTGTTTTTTTCCCTCTCCCCTGCCATGCAGATTCTTAGATTAGGATCCTTGAATGTTAATGGGTTGAGGGATGGAGGGAAAAGGGTTTTACTCTCGGAGTTTCTTAGGCTTAAAGATTCAGAAGTAATTTTTTTACAAGAAACCCACAGTGATAGAAAAAATGAATCCGAGTTGAATTTGTGGTGGGAAGGAAAGTTTTGTTCAAGCCATGGCACCAATGTAAGTGCAGGTGTTGCTATTTTATTTGCAACTCACCTTAATGTTAATATTTTATCAGAAACAGAAATAGAGAGAGGACGCATTTTGATGGTAAAAGCCAAAGTTGAAAATCAGGTATTTGTTTTTATAAATATTTATGCTCCAAATAAAGGGTCGGGTAGAGTAATCATGTTTAGAAAATTAGGAGAGTTTTTAAAAAGTTATACTTTAGATGGTATGTTAATCGTGGGTGGGGATTGGAATTGTTCTCTTAACTTTCTTGTAGATAGGAATAATGAAGAACCACATCCTCTATCAGCTGCTGTTTTAAAAAGTATTATAGGTCAGAATGATTTAGTAGATGTATGAAGAGAAAGGAATAAAGAGGTGAAACTTTATACATGGACTAAGGTCTCGCAGGGAATGATAAGTGTAGCTAGACTGGACAGGTTTTATGTTAAGTGTACTGAGAATAATAGGATAATGGGGTGTAATATGTTTCCATGTTGTCTATCGGATCACAATTTTATCACAGTTAATATTGTTTTGAAACAAACTAAGTTTAAAAGTCCGTATTGGAAATTCAATGCTGCATTATTGAAAGAAAAAGAGTTCATTGAGAATTTTGAAATGTTTTGGAAGGAATGGGTTTCTAAGAAAAGGGATTTTGATAATTTGATACAATGGTGGGAAATAGGAAAGACACAAATAAAAATATTTTGTCAGCAGTTTACATGTTTTTCAACAAGAAAAACAAAAAAAATTTCTGAAATTGAACAAGAGATATTTCACATTACATCTGGTATGATTCAGAAATCTAATGCTTGTTCAGCTGGCGTGTTGGGTGAAAAGAAACGTGATCTAGAAGATTTGTTGCAAGTGCGGGCAAAAGGTGCCCTGATAAGATCACGATTTATGTCTGTACATGATATAGATGCTCCCACAGCATACTTTTTTAACTTAGAAAAGGTGTCAAAACAACAAAATGAAATGTATTGTCTGACAAAACCCGATGGCCAAAAGACTTTTGAGGCAAGAGAAATGAGAAAGATTGCGGTGGACTTTTACTCAAACTTGTACAGAAAGGAAGAAACGGATCCTGAGTGTGTGTCACAGATACTGCAGCAGTTGCCGTCTCTCACTCAAACACAGAAGGAGAAGTTGGACAGTGATGTATCATTCGAGGAGTTGACTGATGCCGTGAAGCAGATGAAGCCTGGGAGAGCACCGGGAATTGATGGACTATCAGTGGACTTTTCTAAAGCTCTGTGGAACTGCATTGGAAGAGAGTTGTATGAGGTTTATCCAAGAGTGCTTTAAAGAAAAACTCCTTCCCACAAGTTCCCAACGGGCAGTATTAACTTTATTACCAAAAAAGGGGGACTTGAGTGATCTTAAAAACTGGAGGCCGGTGTCAATCCTAACAACGGACTATAAGCTATAAAAACTGGAGGCCGGTATTAGGAGATGTATTAGGAGATGTAATACATGTATTAGGAGATGTAATACATCAAGATCAATCGTACTGCATTCCAGAAAGATCCATTTATGATAATATTTTTATGATCAGGGACATTTTAGAGTACTCAAAACTATATGAAATGAATGTTGGTTTTCTGTTCCTGGATCAGGAAAAAGCTTTCGATAGAGTGGATCATGGTTTTCTGTATGATACAATGACGGCTTTTGGGTTTGGAGATGGTTTTATGTCATGGATCAAACTCTTATACATGAATGCCTCTTGTGTTCTAAAAATAGGAGGTGGGTTAAGTAAACCAATAAGTTTGCTTAAAGGAATAAGACAAGGATGCCCACTGTCCGGTCAGTTATACGCTTTAGCAGCGGAACCACTTCTATGTGTGTTAAGAAAAGAACTGTCTGGTCTAAAGGTGGATGGTTGCTGCAATACGTTTAAGATAACAGCATATGCAGACGACATAACTGTAGTCGTGAAAGATCAAAGAGATATTGATGTTGTCATTCAAAGTATCTCTTTATATGAGAGAGCGTCTTCTGCTAAACTGAACTGGAGTAAAACAGAAGCTTTTTCGTGCAATGAAAAAGAGGAATGTTGTAATGACAATGTAAAACCTGTTATCCCTGGAAAGGTAAGGTGGAAAAAAGATGGTTTTAAGTTTTTAGGCATCTTTTTAGGTTCAGAAGAATACCAAAGAAAAAATTGGGAAGGTGTTAAAGATCAAATTTGTAATAGAGTATCCAAATGGAATTGGATTGTACCTCAATTATCATATAGAGGGAGAGTACTGGTCATTAATAATCTTGCTGCCTCTATTTTATGGCATAAATTAATTGTGTTAAACCCACCAGATGGATTCATTAAGGAAATTCAGAAAGTGTTTGTTAATTTTTTTTGGAATGGACAACACTGGTTAAGAGCATCAGTACCGTATCTGCAGTTAAATGAAGGAGGTCAAGGCCTTGTGGACATCAAGTCCAAGGTAGCTGCGTTCAGACTGCAGATCGTGAAAAGACTCCTTTATAATCAGCCGCGGAACTGGACTGAAATAGCTTGTGCGTTATTAAGAAGAGTGGGGTGGATGAACTTAGATAGACACCTATTCTTAATGAATTTGAAGGAAGTAGATTTTAACGGACTCTCTTCTTTTTATGCATCAGTCTTAAATGGTTGGCAAATATTTATTGTTAAAAGAGAGCTGTCTGAAATAACCCATGAGTGGGTGCTTGAAGAACCCTTGATTTATAATCCGCTTTTATCCAGTGAGATGTTAAAATCAAAAAGTGTTTGTGCAAGCTTGGTTAAAGCAGGAATATGTAAAATATGTCATCTTCGGCAGAGGGACGAATGGATTTCTGCAGAAACACTGGCCTCGAAGATTGGTGTTCACTCTGTTAGGATTGTTGAAAAAGTATTGGCTGAGATGCAGGAGTTTTTTAATGTACCTGTGCAAGCAGAGATGGTTGAGACCGTATTCCCCAGCATCAGGGTGGGTGTAAATGTAGGAGACTGGCAGGAGGAGGATGGAAGATTACTGTCTTTTACAACTCCTGAAATTAGTCGTTTTGACACAATATCTAAGAAGGGTTTTTATCTTGTTTGTGTAAAATACTTAAATGTAAGAGCATTGCAAGATCTCCCAGAGACCAAATGGACTAATTTAGTTGAATCAGGGGCCTCTCCAAAAGGATGTTGGAGGACGTTGTATAAGAAACCAATCGAGAAAAGAAGTGGAGATTTGCAATGGAGGATTTCTCATTGGATTTTAGCAACGAACCGTTATAAAGTTCATCTAAATCCTTTGCAAGGAGAAGAGTGTTTGTTTTGTGGGTTACCAGAAACAGTGTCTCATATATTTATTGAATGTTTCAGGCTAGCAGGAATTATGGGTGTGTTAAAAGACCTGAGTAATGATTTTGGTTTCATTTTTTCAAATAGTTTTTTTATTTTTGGACCAAAATATAGCACCTCAAATAAAAGCAAAATTGTCTTGATAAATGTTTTATTTGGGATGGCAAAAATGGCTATCTGGCTGACAAGAAAGAGAAAAATGCAGTTTAATAGCGAAAATGATCCTTTGGACATGTTCAGAGCTCTGGTAAAGAGTAGGCTGGTTATGGAGTATAAGTATTATGAACTGGTGAATGGTACCGATTCTTTCTTCTACTTATGGGGGATTGAAAATGTTTTATGTAAACCCAATGGAGAGGGAGGATGTAATGTATTGTTGTAAAAGAAGCTGTTTTTTTTAGTTTTTTTTAAAGATTTTTTTATCTGAATATGTTTTTAATAGAAATCTGTTAAAGGTGTATACAGTTGTGGTATAGATTGTAATTAAAGGGTGTTAAAAGTCTAAAGTCTCTCTCTCTCTCTCTCTCTCTCCCTCTCTCTCTCTCTCTCTCTCTCTCTCTCACACACACACACACACACACACACACACACACACACAGCATAGTAAAACATGCATTGTAGAAAGCTATCATGCATCATGTGTATTAACTCTAGTTTAAACAAACCTACTTACTCTACAGATAGTGTGCCACCTGGTCCTTCTGGTCTCGGACGTCGCTTCCAGTTCACTTTAGGCAAATAAAAAAAAACTTCTAAAACACTGCGACTTAGCAGGGGCGGAAAACCGGGATCCTCTGTTATACAGCTAGGTACACTTGTCCCATTGTCTGCATCTTCCAGATTTTCCAGTTGTGGCATTACAATGTCCCAATCGATACAGCACATGCTCTCCTGTTCGGTAGGCATCGCTTGGCACTGATGGCATTTACACCACCAGCTCTCCAATGCTCTCGGTCTTGCAAGAGCTTGGGACTGCGGTTGTGTTGCAGCCTCTTCCATCTCTTACAGTTCAGTGTCAGTGTGTTCTGGTTCGAATAGGTACGCTTGGTTAAAAAAATGTAAGTCTTCATCTACGTCGAAATCAGCAGACATATTTACGAATTGAAAAGCGTATGTACAGCGCGCGTCTTCCTCTGCTTGTAAACAGAAAGTTTTGCGCTTCCAACACGTCATCTTATACGGTAGGTGGCGGTAATACTCCTAAGCGGTGAGCAGCCGGTAACAAGAAGTAGTCGAAGAAGAACGTCCTCATCTCATTTCTCGCGCATGCGTTCTGGAAATCTCTTCAACTCTCGTCTCAAGGCCCACAAGGAAGTAACGGAATAGTCGAATAAAGTCGTTATTTATGTGTTTTTTTTCGCACAAAAAGTAGTCTCGTCGCTTGATAAACTTATATTTGAGCCACTGTAGGCACATGGAATATTTAAACATTTTCTTTAATGACTTTCTGGGCCGTCAAGTGTCATTCCCTTAGGAAGCCTATGTAGCAGTGATCCAGCTCTCAGATTTAATCAAAAGTGTGTTCCGAAGATGAACGAAGGTCTTACGGGGTTGGTACAGCATGGGGGTGAGTAATTAATGACTTAATTTTCATTTTTGGGTGAACTAACCCTTTAATCTCGGTGAGGAAGAGGAGGACTTCTTCGCGCAAATCGCTAATTTTGTTGGCTAAACCTTAAGGTTTGTTTCCATTCCACTGTGCTATTTTTGTAAACATGTGCTTGAAGAACATGTTTGACGTTGCGCTCGCGTCTCGCTGTGCTGTTTCTGTTTATGCCCATAAAGCTGCTTCGCCAAGCGCCCATTTGCAGCGTTGCCATGTCCACTTATTATAGGCATCTTTGGGCTTGTTATTTTTTCCAAGTTAATATTATATTCCATGTGCTGTCTCTAGAATATAAAACCCAACATGACATCCAAACTGAGACAACAGAGAAGAGGAGGCGACAGGTCCGCCAGCCGCTGCCTAGCGAGAGGAGCGAGACCAGTTCACCAGTGTTTCCCTCTGTCAGGAAGCGTGGAAGTGCAAGGGAGGATCTACAAGCTGGAGATCCGGGTTCTCATTTATAAAACTCGGATCCTTACTGCATGTGTATATGGCAAAAAATATTCAGACTTATGAACCCGTGCGTACACCAGAACCTGAATCTTCACATGCGTCTCCTCCCCGAAATAACCATATATGAGCCGACAACGCCTCGTTTACTCTACATATCTCATCTGCATATCATTAGCATATTCATCCACATGATGCCGTGTTTAACGGTATAAGACATTAGGAGAATATGAGATACGGATGTGCGTCACATTACATTGATAAAAACCCTTTGGTAGACGATCCTTGCCTTGTGTTTGAATAAATAAATCAAATAGTATAAAATACATTTCTGAGAAAGTCTTACAGGTGCACATTCTCCCATCAAGTGTGTTTTTCTGAGTCACAGCGTATGCGTGGGAAGTGGCGTCCGACTGCTTCAGGGCCACGCAGTGGGTATAAACCTGAGGAGTACCAGCTCATAGTTTCCGGTCTCTCGACCGAGCTTGTTGAGACAATTTTGAGTTGTCGAACCCGTTCCACCAGGAAGCTGTGTCCTACAACGGCGACTCTTGTATCATGGTGCGAGCCGCTTGACCTGAACCCGTTCCACCGCCCTGTTGGTTCAGTGCTGGAGTTCCTTCAAAAGTGCCTCTCAACAGTTTTGACCCCGGCTACAGTAAAGGTCTGCGCGGCTGCTGTTTAGCTAGCCTCGTAGCTTTAGCTGGAGCTTCTGTTGAGAGACATCCTCTGGTGTCCCGGGTCTTGCGATGACAGGCGGCTGAGGCCTATCTGCTGGCCGCGAGTTCATTCCGGTGACCTAGCATTGGTCCTGCGAGCATTAGCAGAAGCAACACTCGAGCCCTTGGAGTCAGAAAAAGTGCTGACTCTTAAAATGGCTTTCTTACTAGCATTGACTTCATTTAAAGGCCCCCTGAAATCAAAATGTACGTTTTTTAGCTTTGAGTACAAATATGTTAGACTTAAGGTATTAAATAAGCTTCCAAAACAATGACAAAATTCACATTTAGGTGATATTTAAGCATTAAAACTTCCAGACTCTTACTTCCGCTAAAATGGATCAGGGATTTTTATGACATCACCGCGGACTTCAGCTTCTCATCACATCTCTTGTCCAATCACATGCTCTCTATCTGAATCTGAAGCTCCATAAAATGTCTATGCTATAAACACCACCTCGAATTCGCTTCCATGGTGCCGTCATGTAGGGATGGAGAAATGAAGCCTCTTAAATCATTGAAGCTTTTCTCTGATTGTTTCGGGTAAAGATTCAAAGCATCAAGATTATTGAAAACAGCGCCATCTTGTGGCAGGTCAAATTTACAGCAGCCATAACCCGAGCAGCCACGGGCGCAGATCCATTGTTTCATCCATTCAGCACAAATAAAAGCCTGACAACGCTAAATGTTCAGTTGTCTGATATATAATTCACATATTGAAGTGTGGCAATAAATTAAAGGTAACAATAATTATAATAATACAATAATACCAACCGAGTTGTTTGATGCAAGTAAATGGTGCTCTATTTATTTTATGGTTTTTATACTGTTTATATTGTAGAATATATGATCATGTAACATAGGGTATAGGCTTATATATATATATATATATATATATATATATATATATATATATATATATTAATAAATGGACTTGAAGTTCCATAAACCCTTTTAGAGTAGTGTGGGTCCAAACATTCCAACCACGCAAAATGAAGTATTGCAGTCTGAGAGGGAAACCAAACGCTATTGGCTATTTGAAAAGGGGGAGGAGCCATTCAGTATGCCCCGCCTTAGCTTAGGTGATGTCATACTGACCCCAGATCAGACCATGTTCCTGAAGTTCCCTCAGCCCGTGATCTTCTTCCCTCCAACATGGCATCCTCTAATTCGCACAGATGTTGAATATGCAGGAAAATATTTTGCAAAGAGCCAACAATTCAGGGTGTACTTCATATGGGCACATCGATCTTCTATCTAATCTCTTGCTTATCGACTCCAACACGCTTCTCGAGAGCAGCATGACACATGCGTGTTGTGCTGACGCCAGAGCAGACGTGGTTAAGTGAACACAAATTGGAGATTAATATTTTTTAAATAAACTGGTAAATTATATTTTTTTGTGCGAACAAAGCACTGAGGTTAAACCACTGGAGTAATTAATGACAGAATTTAAATTTTTGGGTAAACTATCCCTTTTAATAGATGATTACTCACTGGTATACAAGACCAACCTAGCTAATTATCATACAAGAAGAACTGTCCGAATTGGTGCTGTCAATATATATAAAAATATTAACTCGATTAATCACACATGTTTCTGTGATTAATAGTGATCACAATTAAACACTTTCGTTGTTTATAGGTTTATATTAGTTTATATATTTTATAATGTAATAATTTCACAGTTAATCTCCAAATTAAGAGACAACATAAAGACAGTATATTTTAAATACTTTAATGGCATTAAGGTCAGTATCACTGATACTAATACAGCTATTAATGCTGGGATAAAAATGTATTTTTCCCCTAAATTTAAACATTAATTATAGCCATTCAACATTACAGTGAACTTGAAAGCTATCAATTTTTTAAGACTTCAAAAAATATAACAACTTTTAATTTAAGTGAACTTCAAACAATCCTCACATAAACCTCTATGGTTTATGACATTATATATTAAATGTCATATTTATCTGTGCCCTTCCTGTCTAACATATACAGAACAATAAACCGACATTTAATAAACCGACATTTAATAAAGTTATCAAACAGTCTGCATTGCATAAAACAAGATTAAATATAGACTAATCCTTATTAAAGCTACAACAGTTCTTTAGTCAAGAGCAGGGAGTAATGTTCTCTGTTCCCTTTGTTCTTTGATTAACTTCACAGACAGAATTATTGGCTGCTGTCCCTTTAAGACCCGCACGCGATCTCACACACACCTCAACTCTTCATGCTCATTTAAGACTTTATTTAACTCATTTAAGACTGCTCTTATGTTATGAGGACACTCGAGAAAACTGACATTTTGGCATAATTGTGTTATTATTGTTCGTCGTTTAAGCGCGATAGAGAACTGTATTCTGGCGTGCTGTCTGTGCGCACTGTACTGGCGCGCGCGAGTGTGTGTGTGAGTGTGTGTGTGTGTGTGTGTGCCTTTTGTCTTGTCGGCGCTTGAATGGTTTAAAAACATTTGCATGAATAAGAGCGGGATCATATAATGTAAAGCTACCCAGAGGATGACAAAAATTAATGGATGCTTTGCGTTAATTGCGTTAAATATTTGAACGCGTTAAACTGGACAAAAATTAATTGCATGCGCTAACACGATAATGTTGACAGGCTAGTTGGAATAAATACAAATATAAATAAGAAATGTTGGGATTAATGTCAAAATAAACAAACATGGAAATAGATAAATGCATGAATAAATAAATAAATAAATATAAAAACAAATAACGTTTTGTTTGTTTTTATACGTATAGGCCTAAATAAATACACATAAAAATAAATTAGAATATATAAATCAAAGTTAAAAAGAAAATAATAAATGAAAAGGCAAAAATGAAAATGAAGCAATAATTAAAATGAATTGTATTTGTCTTATCAAGACATTACCAGGTTATTGATTAATTAAGACTAATGTGTGTGTAGTTTTGGTTCTTTATAGCACAGCTCTCTCTCTCAGACTCTCCACGCGCGCTCACGGTGACACGCACTGACAGGCGCGTCCCCGCGGACCGAACACCCCGCCCCCCCGCGCGCGCCGCGGTTTGTCCAGTCGCTGGGCACTGCCTGGGGAGACTCGACGGACAGCTTCATGTAAGTTTTGTTTTATTTTATTTTTTGGAGCTGCTCTCTTTAAAGATGCTGTAAGTTCAACTCTGTGTGTTTGTTTTCGTCGCGTTCATCTTTCTTTAACACATGAGATCAGGTCAGTAATACACACGGTCAGATCTGGTGTTTGCTGTGATGTTTTAACAAGTCAATGCGTTAAACTCAAGTTCAACTCATTAAATCAAATATAGATCAGGTCAAGCCACATCATGGTGTCAAACAACTTTACATAGATGTATATTTCACTGTCAATAGCTTTACAAATAATATGCTTTAATAGAAAATAGATCTCGGATACGTTTAATTTAGGGCAGTTAACAAACCAAGCAATGCAGTTCTCCAATGCATTATACAGTAGTGATTTTGAATGTTATGATTAAATTGTAATATTAATGTTTGGCAGAGATTCAAACATGTCTCTCACACAAAGGTTTGTATGGCTTCAGAAATAAATCAAATGGGCAAATTTTGTGATACATTTTACTGTAAGCTTTTGCTTTCTGTAATGAATTTGTTGTAATCACAAAAATGTATTTACCAAAATTACATTTATTTTGCAACAGTAACATTTGTAAACAAACAAATAAGTATGCTAAATTAAAGGGATAGTCTACTTGTCACTAAAGATGTTGTGTAGAATGGCCACAAGTAAAAATTTACCAATTTCTTAAAAAAAAAAAACTAAACTAAATTTACTATCCACAAGAAAGAGAAACAGTAAGTCTATTTGGAATCTCTCGCTCACTGTACATCATGTAATGACGTCATTGTGTCTGTATTTCTAATAACTCAGTCTCATGGTATATCACACTTCATATAACACAAAAATAACAACCGTATGTAGGGCTGTAAGATTATGGCCAAAATGATAATCACGATTATTTTGATCAATATTGAGATCCTGATTAATTTTCACGATTACTTGTTGATTTTAACCTAAACTAATTATATTGTCACATAGGCTTATTATAGTCTCAGCCTCAGACGCAACGCCCACGGATCGTTGGCTAAACGTCTGATGCATATGGTACACTTAACTGGAAACACTTCAGGAATGTCGAAGTCGTCATCTGATTGGTTGAATTTTATCGGATTTCCGGGGGGCGCGAGTGTCGCGTTTATTTTCGGTCCGCCGGGAAACAAAGCGCAGACGTGTGATTGCGGAAGAAAAACTGTTGTGTTTACATGAGTGACAATGAGCATTTATCAAGATCAGCTAAACGTAGGATTCTCAAAAGTGTGCGAGGTTCACGGAGACTCTTGAGGTTTTCTTCTCCTTCTTTGATTTTCTATGCTGACTGACTTGTTGCACGCCGGTCTGTTGTTGTGGGGACATTTCCACGCACCGAAACGTGACGCTGAACGAAACGAACTGTAATTGGTTGTTTGACATGTGGGTCAAACGGCCTTATGGGCGGGCCTTGGCCATAGAAAGCTGCTATGAGTTCCAGACCTTCAGCCGTCAGTACGCGAGACTAGGCTAATTATAACTGCGTAGCACTGAGCGGGAGGGATTTCAGTCAACGAGAAATATGACTCAATGAATTACGCGAACGATTCGCTCACCTAAAAGATTAATTTAAAAAGAACGATTCGTTCACGAACGTAACATCACTACTAGATTGGCTTTGCAAAAAATGAAAACTTTGATTCGGAGCGTTCTATGAATGGAATGACGCATTTTAAATATCGCTCTCTCAGGCGACTTTGACCGTGGGAAGCCAAAATCCTGATCGTGATTACACTTCGATTAACTGTGCAGCCCTAACCGTATGTTCCCTCACTCATGCTTAAAATGGTTATTGCTACTACAGCAAACCATAATAATAAGAGGGCAGTCGTGGCCTAATGGTTATAGAGTGAGGTTGCAGGTTCGATTCCCAGTATGAATATATACTGAAGCCCCAATCGCTCCCGAGCGCCGCAGTGAATGCTGTGCAGTGCTGTAATGTAACCCACTCATGAGACTGTGTGACTGTAGGCTACTTGAGGATTTGTTTGGAGAATCTGTACTTTACTTGAGTTTTTATATTTCTGCATCACACAGGACGACAGCGGCCTCTAGAGGCAGGGCCGGCTCTAACCCTTTGGTTGCCCTAGGCGATATTGAGTTTTCCGCCAATTAAGCAAAACAAAACAAAACGAATGGGCCACCGATGAACGAGTTTTATGGGCCGTTAAGACAAAAATAGAAAAAAAAAGTATGAGATGTATGTATCGGCCCAAAAAGCACGTCTGCCCCGCAGGAATCTCCCATAGTTCCGATGGCCAGAACATTTGACACCTTAATGGCTGAGATGAGAAGATTTACCTCTATACTGGGCTTTCTTTTTATCTTGTTGCTTTCTCTGTTTTGGTCCCTGTGCACCAGAGGGTTTAGACCGCTTCATTTTCGATCAGCGCGCGCAGCAGCCGAGCACTCGCCTAACGTAACCACAGAACGTAACGTAACGCAACTAACCCCCGCCCCCCCTTTAGGAAATGATCGACAATAATCATCCATTCAATCTAATAATCAGGTTGACAAGTAATTAAACGTATGGCTGAGGGGCGCCTTAGGATGATCATGTTTAATAAACATGTTTTTGTTTCGCTTGTCATTGTAATTCTATGATTAATGGGAAGTAGGCCAAGGGGCGACACTAGAGGGCGCCCGCGCCCCCAACACATTTGCCGCCCTAGGCAACCGCCTAGTTCGCCTATAGCAATCGCCGGCCCTGTCTAGAGGACAAGTAAAAACTATCACCTCGTGCTGTTAGTTTTGACACATGACACAGACACTTGCAACCTAACGGTATGTTATACAGTGTACACTACACAGGGTTTCCGCGGGGTCATAAAAAGTCATAAAACGTCTTAAATTTAATAATAAGAATTTTAGGCCATAAAAACGTCCGGTTTTTCCATACAAGGTCATAAATTACATTTAGCCACGTCTTAAATTGATATGCTCATTCATTCATTATCGCGATATAATGTTTTCTCTATAAAACGATATCAAGAGTTCGATAAATGTTAGATCATGTTTATGCGCCAAAAGCGGAACGAAACTCATTTGAACCGCGCGCGCCTCACGGAGCGTTTATCCGCTCGGCTCAAAGTCCAAACGGCAGCGTAGCGCGATCAAGCTCACTAGAGCAGACGCGTTCTTCTACTGTCTATGGTTAACTTTGATCAGTCTCGATCACGAGATCCAGTGAGAAGCACTTGAATTCAGCGAAGAACACAAATGTCTCAGTGATTTAAACCAGTTTAAAGGCAGATGAAACAGCGCTGACGAACAGGAGAAACACTGTGCGCAACTATACAGTCAGAAAGCTTTTCCATCTACACATTTACATCCTTTACCATGGTTTTACTGTAACGTTAGCCTAGTAATATTAACTGCACCATGAAATGTGGGATACATATTGAATTGTATTATATTATTAATGTAGACAATGTATTAAAGGACTAATGGAATATAATTACAGTATTTATGTATTTAGGCTATAGCCTACTGTTTTTCATACATTTCATAAAGATACGTGCCATCAAAGTCAGGCAACACAAACCTGTTTCAAGACTTGAAACAATATCCCCCATTAGCACATGCAGAAACTAAGAAATAAATTTTGAAATAAAGATATTATTTTTGTTAAGGAAAAAATACAAATGTTTGAATGTTCTACCTCAGATTTGTGAAATGTTCACCTGTTTGGCAAGTGTTTGTCATGATATGTTTTGACAATAAAGAGTAGTTTAAAACCACAATTAACGCTCTGGTTTCTATCAAATGATATGCATTTTGTGGGGTTGTGTGCAACACCACGTGATTACAGAGCCGTAAAACTAAAAGTTAAAACTAACTTTCAGTTGGGAACAAAAATCTGCCTTCAAAGTTCAAAGAAATAAAGAATTGACATTTATCGTCATAATTATCGATATTGACTGATATATTATCGTGATAAGTGTTGTGTTGTTCCTGTGTTATTGATACTTAGGAAAAGGGAGCCTTCAGTTTGTTACTCTTAAGAAAATGGAACCTTTAAATAATTAAACTTATTACTTTTAATGAAAGTCAATAAAAAAAAGACTTTTGAAAGGAAGTTATTTTTCGTAATTCGAGTAGGTCATAAATTTAAATCATATTGGTCATAAAAAGGTCTTAAAAGGTCTTAAATTTGACTGACTAAACCCTGCAGAAACCCTGACTACAGTACAGGTTTTTATATCATTATACGTATTAGTTTGTTGACTATATGCTGCATTAGTGGAGGACAGCAGTGTGCTTACCGTCGAGGCTGAGAGAATGCTAACTTTAGTAGCCTTCCTCAAGCGGTTAAAACTATGTGACAAAAATACATGTCTGACCCAAAGGTTTAAGGTCACGATTGTTACCGATTGTAACAAAGTTAAAACTGAACACAATCTTTCTGCTCAAACTGTGTATAGAACTTTTTTTAAATAATATTTTTAGCTTTTCTTGTATTTTGCATTTACTTGTACTTTTTAACTTTCTGTGTTTAAATGTTTTTATTTGGTAGTACTTTTACTTTCAATGCTTAAGTACGTTTAATATTTAAAAAAATACATTTCATACTTAAGTACAATAAATATCACATACTTTAAAACTTTTACTCAAGTAATATTCTTTTCTGAAAGTCATTTTCTGGTAAGATATCTGCACTTTTACTCAAGTGTGGCTTTCAGGTACTTTATCCGCCACTGGCAGTGTGTGTCACTACTCACTACTGCTAACTGCTAATGTGTGTGTGCACTACTCACTACTGCTAATGTGTGTCTACTACTCACTACTGCTAATGTGTGTGCACTACTCACTACTGCTAATGTGTGTCCACTACTCACTACTGCTAATGTGTGTCCACTACTCACTACTGCTAATGTGTGTCCACTACTCACTACTGCTAATGTGTGTCCACTACTCACTACTGCTAATGTGTGTCCACTACTCACTACTGCTAATGTGTGTGCACTACTCACTACTGCTAATGTGTGTGCACTACTCACTACTGCTAATGTGTGTCCACTACTCACTACTGCTAATGTGTGTCCACTACTCACTACTGCTAATGTGTGTGCACTACTCACTACTGCTAATGTGTGTCCACTACTCACTACTGCTAATGTGTGTCCACTACTCACTACTGCTAATGTGTGTGCACTACTCACTACTGCTAATGTGTGTGCACTACTCACTACTGCTAATGTGTGTGCACTACTCACTACTGCTAATGTGTGTGCACTACTCACTACTGCTAATGTGTGTGCACTACTCACTACTGCTAATGTGTGTGCACTACTCACTACTGCTAATGTGTGTGCACTACTCACTACTGCTAATGTGTGTGCACTACTCACTACTGCTAATGTGTGTGCACTACTCACTACTGCTAATGTGTGTCCACTACTCACTACTGCTAATGTGTGTCCACTACTCACTACTGCTAATGTGTGTGCACTACTCACTACTGCTAATGTGTGTCCACTACTCACTACTGCTAATGTGTGTCCACTACTCACTACTGCTAATGTGTGTCCACTACTCTCTACTGCTAATGTGTGTGCACTACTCACTACTGCTAATGTGTGTCCACTACTCACTACTGCTAATGTGTGTCCACTACTCACTACTGCTAATGTGTGTCCACTACTCACTACTGCTAATGTGTGTGCACTACTCACTACTGCTAATGTGTGTCCACTACTCACTACTGCTAATGTGTGTGCACTACTCACTACTGCTAATGTGTGTCCACTACTCACTACTGCTAATGTGTGTCCACTACTCACTACTGCTAATGTGTGTCCACTACTCACTACTGCTAATGTGTGTGCACTACTCACTACTGCTAATGTGTGTCCACTACTCTCTACTGCTAATGTGTGTGCACTACTCACTACTGCTAATGTGTGTGCACTACTCACTACTGCTAATGTGTGTCCACTACTCACTACTGCTAATGTGTGTCCACTACTCACTACTGCTAATGTGTGTCCCCTACTCACTACTGCTAATGTGTGTCCCCTACTCACTACTGCTAATGTGTGTCCACTACTCACTACTGCTAATGTGTGTGCACTAACTGGGATGGGTTGAATGCAGAGGACTCATTCCACGTCTGGGTTACCCTACTTGGCCTTCACATGTCACTTTTCCAGTCATGCAGAAATGGCTTGGGAGCACAGTTTTGTTTCGCTTTTCGTATGGTGGAGATCATAATAGACGTATACTTAAGCAAGGAACAACTAAAGGACAGGCAATAAGACCATATATAACCATATAGCAATATGGATATAAAAAAAAGGAAACAGTAATTTAACAAAACAGAGTGAACAAATAGGTTTTGAGTTCTGTCTTAAAGGTCTGGAGTGAAGTTATAACGTGGAGGCTTTGGGCAGCTGCGATTCTGAATCCCACTGACAGAAGAGAGTTTGAACTTGGCTAGGACAAGCGAGCTGTCAGAAATTGATCTACGAGTGCGGGCAGGAACATATGCATGTATAATTCTGCTAGATATAAGGCTGCTAAACCATGGCAGACCTTAAAAACTGACAAGTATTTTGAACTGAATGCGAAAGATAATAGGGAGCAATGTGAGCAGATTGTTTTGTTAAATGCAAGTACACAGGCAGCTGAATGTTGTACAAGCTGCAAATGATTAAGGGCTTTAGTGGGTCAGCCACAGAACAACGAGTTACAATAGTCCAACGAGAGGTTATGAAAGCATGGATAAACTTTTCAGCATCTTGAAGACTGAGCAAAGGTCACACACGGACAATATTGCTAACAAGATTTAACAAGCTGGCTGATATGCGGATTAAAGCATGATTTGGGATCAAATAGTGACCCCAGATTCCATACAATGGGTGAAGGCCTAACTAAGGCTATCTCAATATGAATGGAGGGGTCATGTTGACACAATGCCAAGGGATTCAGGGCGACTAACCGGATTTCAGATTTAACAGTATTCAGCCATGCTTTAAAATCTTTAAGTCCAGGCAGTGATGAATGGGGTGGAAACACAGAAATGGGCTGGGCAGAAAGATTTGTTTATCAACATTGTAACTATAAAAATTAAGACCATGACGCTGAATGATCTAGCCGAAGAAGAATTAATTAATTGAATTAGAAATCAAAGTGGACCAAGAACCGATCCTTGAGGTACACCAATGAAAATAGTGTTTGTGTTGATTAACCCTTTCACACTTACGTTTAAATTATTTGATCTGAGTTACTCGCTTTCGGACGTGCCTCACAGTCCCCCAGACTCGAAATAAACCAATATCCCGGAGTGTATGTTACTCCATTAACTCCAACAGTTCACTGAACTGAGACATGTTGTGCTGAGACTGAGAGAACTGATGAGCACGAGTAGCTGATACTGAGCATGCGTGTACTACCGAACGTACAGGTACAGCCAGGTGGTGTTTATAGCACAGGGGGCGGAGCTTTAGATTCTATAGAGCATTTGATTGGACAGAAGATGTGATGAGAAGCTAAAGTCCTCGTGATGTCATAAACATCCGTGATCCATTTTAGCCGAAGTGAGAGACTGCAAGTTTTGAATGCTTATATCTTTTAAGTGCGAATTTTGTCATTGTTTTGGAACACACCAGCTTATTCATAACCTTGAGGCTAACCTATTCATACTAAAATCTGAAAAACTTACATTTTGATTTCAGGGGGCCTGTAATCAAAATGCCCCCTAACTTAATACACAATATTCTTGTTTTCCCAATCCATATTTTAAATGTAATATTAAATTATCTTCCTCAATGCATTCAGGGAATGACCCATGCATGTATATGTGAGCGCAACCCGTCAAACTCTGCCTCCCTCATTACACTTCCCCCAGTTCACAGCTCATGAGCTGAATCAGGTGTGTTAGATGAGGGAGACGTACAAAATGTGTAGTTAGTGGTGTGTAGAAGCACTGCTCTAACTTAATTTCTCACTGTCGTCCTCCATGCAGGAAACTACAGATTTGCCTATCGGTCTATGCCTTTACCAGACAAAGGTAGCTGACTGTACTTTCACAAAACAAGATGTGATCATCTGATCAAGCTTTGTGGAGCTGCGAGTAGATGATGGGAAGGACGGCTCGTGCAGAGCTCTTGCTGACTGTTGGGAATTAACTGGAAACAGAAGAACAGCTTCCACTGCATGTGCCATAATGGCCAGTCTTGTTCTTAATGAGACTGGGATGGACAATTGTGGCATCGATGACTCCTTCAAGTACAACCTGTACGGTGTGGTGTACAGTGTGGCATTTGTTCTGGGACTGGTCACTAACTGTGCTTCACTGTTTGTCTTCTGCTGTCGCATGAAATTGCGTAACGAGACCACGCTTTTCATGACCAATCTAGCTTTATCAGACTTAGTGTTTGTGTTTACTCTTCCTTTCAAAATCTTTTACAACGTGACTCGCCACTGGCCTTTTGGGGATACAGTGTGCAAGATCTCCGGAGGAGCCTTCATCACCAATATCTACGGCAGTATGCTGTTCCTCACATGCATCAGTGTGGATCGATTCCTGGCGATTGTTTACCCCTTCCGTTCACACTCCATTCGGACCCGCCGCAATGCTGGGATCGTGTGTGGGATCATCTGGTTGTTGATCCTGGGCGGAGGCATGTCAGTCCACTTCTTCTCTTCCACCAACAAGTCCAAAGCAAGTACCACCTGCTTTGAGGGATTCTCCAAGAAAACGTGGAAGACACATCTGTCTAAGATCACCATTGTCATTGAAGTGGTGGGTTTCCTCATCCCACTGATGATCAATCTCGCCTGCTCTTCCATGGTGCTCAGGACTCTGCGTAGACCCGCTACTCTGTGTCAGATCGGAACCAACAAGAAGCGTGTTCTGCGTATGATTGTAGTGCATTTGGCCATTTTTATTGTTTGTTTTGTACCTTACAATTCTGTTCTGTTCATCTATGCCATGGTGCGCACTCGAGCGCTCGCGAGCTGCTGGGTGGAGAAGCTCGCACGGACACTGTATCCCATCACGCTTTGTGTTGCCACCTTCAACTGCTGCTTTGACCCGGTGGTCTACTACTTTACCTCGGAGTCCTTTCAGAAATCACTGACTACCGGGAAGTGCCAGGCCACGCAGGAGAACACGCTGAGGAGTGATTGCCTTGTGTCTACTGTGGAGAATACTGGCACGGTTGAGCTCCACACACTGACCAGCAATGGAAAAGATCAGGGGTGCGTCTCCCAAAAGCATCGTTAGCCAACTATCATCGCAAGTTCTCTACTGGTAACGAAGGAACTTGCGACGAGAGTTGGCTTTGGGAAACGCACCCCAGATCAGTGAGACTCAGTTCTGAAAAGAACAACTAGAGTCGGAAGAAGAGCTGTGGATGTCTTGTCTCAGGATGTAGTGCTGAAGAAAGTTTTCCTCTGACACCCAAACATGGGACATCTAAGGCTTCTGACATCTCTGTGATTGTTTTCTGTCCAGTAGTTAGTGTTAACACAGGTGTACCAGTGTATCACTGTATTTGATCAATGAGTATTACCATACCATTTGCATTTTTATTGTGCTGTATTGTATTTTTACTCAGTCAAAGCACCTTCTGAAAGTGTTGTTACAAATCAGTGTTATTGATTTGTGTGAATGTGGAATGTGTGTGTAAATTTTTCTCTCTCAATCTGGAAAGTTTGGTTTGCCTTTTACTGAATTATAAATAAATAATGGTAAGCAGTTAAATAATAAATCTCTTACTCTTACTCTTAAGTGATGCAATTAGGTGTGTCTTTAGTCTAGACTTAAACTAACAGAGTGTGTATGAATCCTGAGTAATAGTAAGAAGGCTGTTCCAGAATTTAGGAACAGCCTAAGGCTGTTCCAGAATTAATCTCCTGCAGAGGATTTTCATAGTTGTGGTAAAGATATTATTAATTGGCAAGAATTAGCAGAATTAATACACTCTTGGAAAAGTGGTAAGATTAATTGGTTCTTCAAGGGTTAGTTCACCAAAAAATGGAAATTCTGTCATTAATCACTCACCCTATATAATAATAATTTGTTACATTTATATAGCGCTTTTCTGGGTACTCAAAGCGCTTTTACATTGAAGGGGGAATCTCCTTAACCACCACCAGTGTGCAGCTCCACCTGGATGATGCGACGGCAGCCATAGTGCGCCAGAACCCCCACCACACACCAGCTTACTGGTGGAGAGGAGACAGTGATGCAGCCAATCAGTATATGGGGATGATTAGGAGGCCATGATGGACAGAGGCCAAGGGGCAAATTTAGCCAGGACACCGGGGTTACACCCCTACTCTTTTTCAAAGAACAACCTGGGATTTTTAATGACCACACAGAGTCAGGACCTCGGTTTAACGTCTCATCCGAAGGACGTTGCTCTTTGACAGTATAGTGTCAGGACCCACACAGACGCCAGGGTGAGCGCCCCCTGCTGGCCTGACTAACACCTCTTCCAGCAGCAACCTGGTTTTCTCAGGAGGTCTCCCATCCAGGTACTGACCAGGCTCAGCCCTGCTTAGCTTCAGTGGGCAACCAGTCTTGGGCTACAGGGTGATATGGCTGCTGGCATATATATATATAGTTACAGGGTTATAATGTTTTTTTTTCTTGCTTTTTTTTGCACTCTCTATTTGGCAGAATTTTATGAAACTTGGTGTCTTCAGAATGTCCTGTCATCTGCATTAGTTCACATCTCAGTCTCAATTGATTTATAAAGCACAATAAAACAACAGTACTTGACCAGTAGTTTATTATACATAAAATATATGGCCCATTGGCATCAAACACTTGTAAGCCTGTTGGAATAATATCAGTTGAGGACATAGTAGTTTTTAATTGCTTAAGTTCATGAAGAGTTAAATACAAAAAATACAAAAATTACAGAAAGGAGGGATAGAGGGATCATAATCTGAAGGGACAATAAGCTGTCTGGTATCACTTATTTTATTTGTGAAGTAGCTGAGAAAACTTTCGCAAACTAACTGGCTCATCAAAGTAAAAATCAACAGTGGAACAGTGGAATCAACATTTTACAGTGGAAAAGAGGTCGAGGTCTATGACGATTTTCAGCTGTGATGTCTGATTAGTATTAAGATTTGGCCGCTTTCACAGCTTTTTCACAGCAGGTCAGTGAAGTAAGTAAACTCTCAAGAGAGACATACAACTTATCTTTTTTCCACTTCTGTTCTGCGACATATACTCAATGCCTGTGTAGTGTTGTTCAGCCAAGCCTCAGCCCTTGGGGTTTGTAGTTTTTGCTGCAATGGGCTTTTGAGAACGGATTCTCTGCCGCCACCCTTTCCAGTTGTTCTTGGACAGTTTATAAAAGTACAGTTCAAGGGCACAGAAGTTCAGAAAAAAAGACTCAAATCACCAGGTCAAAAAAAAAAAAAAAAAAAAAGATTGCGCCAGATGAAACAGGTGGACAACTAAACTATGATCTCTTCAGACCTGTGCAGGGACGGACTGGGGCTAAAAAACAGCCCTGGACTTTCTCCCAAATAGGCCCATCATCCAGCCATTCGCTAGCCTGGTTCTACCAGACTCTCGTACATTTCATTTGTACAGAGAGTCTGGCCTCGCTCCATTGAGAAACGTTTACTTCCTTGTAGGCGGGTTCTCTGTTAAAGTTCAAAACTATTGGATCTGCCCAGCGTCACTCAGGATCTGCCATAGCCAATCGCTAACGTGTGGTCGTGACGTTTGTCATGCGCCGATACCGGCTGGAAACAACAAGTCCGAATTCCATATTCATAAATCTAAATATCTAAATGCTAAACCTCTCTTTCTTATATTTGTGAAAGAATTTTAAAAATACCTCTTTTCAATTAAGTTGTCTGAGAACAAAAAAAGCCTTAAAAACATTATCTGTTTGTAATTATTTTCCTTTTTTCAGTGTCATGTAATTCTCTTAACTTGTTCATGTTTATTTTATATTATCCCCCTACTGTTTTATTTTTGTTTTGTTTTTATTATTATTTTTTGTTTGTTTTTGTATTATGTTTTCTGTTATTACTTGTGTATTGTTTTAAGCAATAAAAAAAAACAAGTCCGAATGATCAGAGGATTATGTTTAGAATAAGATGTCTGTCAACGAGAGCTGCATGTTTTGTTCATCGAATTTAAGAGTTCAAGGAACAATTCTAAATTCTAAATGTATATTTGACACTAAGGACAGTGATGTATTCAGTCAACTGTCGAAGCTGGGTGTAATCATTAACAATACGCCGCTGCGGTCGTTTCGGATCTGCCGCAAATGCTGTACAGTGATCATCGTGCACGCCGAGCTGCCCAGCACCAACTCCTAACCTTTCTGCCTCCCTCACTTGGTCCTCCATTAGTGCAACAAGAGGAGACGACAACAACTATCGGCTTTGCATCCTATCGTTCGCCTTAGCTAACTCATTCACCACTAGCGGAGTGAGCTGGAAAATTAAACTTTTCCCGAGCCCCGTGGGGAGGAGGGCCACAACATCATGGCCACCAACAACACTTAGCAAACATTGATCTTGCTCCGGCTTTAACTTCTGGATATTCGGCAGTTTTGCAACAACGGACCGAATAGATTTTCTCACGTCTTTCTCCGCTGCCGTTACTGAACTCCAACTCAAACTGACGCGCTACATCAACGTCATCGTTCTCAGCCACTCCCTCTGTTCGCTGATTGGACCGGTAAAAAAATTATTTCTGGAAACCAAAGTCTACAGCACAATCCCAGACGTAGTACTGAAGGAAAATAAAATTGAGCGGAAGTGCGTAGGAGGGCGGAGCCAGGCTAGCCATTCGCCCCTAGCCACTAGGATGTCCTGATACTATGCCACAATACTGTAACCTATATCAGACAAGGTATTCACAGCAAGTAATATCTCAAAAACAATGATGACAATTGGGGTTTTGTTTATTAATGAAGCCTCAGTCTTCAAATAAAAAACAGCAAAATGTACAATGCCATTACATCTGCATTGAAAATAAAATACAAATAATGAAATGTCACTGGCTACAGAAACCCTAATTACACAAACTTGTAATTATAAAACATATAGTTACTATATACCAGGGGTCTCCAACCTTTTTGTGTGCGAGGGCTAAAGGGATAAAATAATCTAGAAGGGCTATACTCAAAAATATTTATTATACATATAACATGGTGGTGTTTTTTTTACCTTACCTTTACCTTTACTTTTAATTTTAACTTTTTTACTTTTCACCATCATATGCGAAATAATAAAATATCTTGATATTCTGGTTCAACAATTCCTGAAAAAATTGTAATATATATATATATTTTTCTCTAAAAACCTATTGTAGCATAAACATTTAGTATAAATATTTAATGCAAAATAAATAAATAAACTGCCATAACTTCTAAACCAAAACATTACTGCATTACATTTAATAGCCTACACTTATAGGCCTACATGACTATTAATATAACAGCATTTTTAATATGAATACAGGCACATTTCTGCCAAAAAAATTGTTTTACTAAGTTACAGTTAATTCATAAGTTGTGGAGTGAAATGTCTTCTAACTGGTTTGTTCTTGGAACAATGTTTCACCTGTTTTTTTGCGTCAAGATGTTGAGAATATCAGCGCTGTTTAATCTGGCTTTTAACTAGCTTAAATCACAGCCATCTGTGGGTTTATAATAGAGATAGAGAATTCTGCACTGAATTGAAATGCTTCTCAGTGGATCGCGCAGCTCTGTGTAATAATGTTCGCGTGATCGAGATCAGTCCGCACAGCTGCTTCGGCCGCGATCGCAGTTTTCTTGGGCCGAGCTGATAATGCTCCGCGCTGGCATCCAACTTAAAGGTGCATTGCTGCCACCTACAGTACTGGAGTGTGAAACAGATTAGTGGGGGGAAAAAACAGGTGATGACTGCGTGTGTGGCGGGTGGTGGGCCGGCCCGCCGGCCGTTCTGTGATACTCCAGATCACACAGATGGCCAGTCCGCCCCTGGACCTGTGCACAATAAAACTTCAACCAGGATCATTGTATTAAAGAGCATTTGATTGACAAATAGTGTGCGGACGGTTTGAGTCAAAAAATATTTATCTGGATACATCTATATCTGGTCCAACCAGCACAAACCAGCCTGGATGAAATGATTCTTCATGCTCCCTCCCAACCGTTCTCTCACAGTCTGAGCCTGAGGAATCTGGACAGTGTCATCCTGGAATATGGCCATGACGTGTCTTCCTACATGGTTGTTTAAAAAAAGAAAAGCTACACACTCCATCAGTTAGTGTTAGAAGAACTGTTGCCGAACATATAACGTGTGTTCACTGTCACTATATCCCAGCCTAGAGTGTCTGAGTTCACACACCTTTTGTGACCTCAGATTGACTAAAATCATTAATGATTCAGACTGAACATCATTTTTAAGCATTGTTATGTCTGATAAGTAGATAAACTGCTGGACACACATATATTTCCTCAGCTTAGAGCAGTGGCCACGTGAGAAGGACTTGCACAACAGCATGTGGGAAATCAGACACTGGGTCTTGTGTGAAGACTGGGGAAATCCACTCGCTTGACCAAATGCTGATTACGACTCCAGCAATGGGTCCATTGTGTCCGACTGAACCAGGCTAGTCTCCAGGCCACCAAAGCCGCCTTAATTCTCTTAAATATGTTGTTGCACGGCCCGTTTGGCACGCAACCTTCATCAGATTATGG